TTCTGTTCAATTTCAGGTGCAATAACTCGCCTGGAATTTGTAGGGACTGAACTCTGTGACGCATTGAACACTGTAAAGAGCATTGAGAATGAACTAAACCGAACTCGTGGTGAAATAAGTGACAGGATTAAAACCGAAATAGAAACTGTTCTTCATTGGAATGCTGGTTATTCAACTTTATGCAAGATTGCAGATATACTTTCCGGTAAACTAGCAACATTCGAAGATGATACAGAACTGTCACCAAACGACTTGACATTCTTCAAATATGCTCCTGTCACATCATGTGATGTGGAACGAAGTTTTTCCAAATACAAAACTATCCTTAGTGATAATCGGCGATCTTTCAAATTTGAAAATTTGAAAATGCATGTAGTTATAAATTGCAATTGTAACAGTGAAAATTGAGACGTGAATAACTCAGTGAAAATTGAGACGTGAATAGCTTGTGTTCTTTTAAATGGTGTTTTTAGATAACAGAGTTAAGTTAGTGTTCATACCATGTGCACCAGTGTTTGTCTAAAATATGAACGCAAATATCAGTATTAAAAAGAAAACAATGAATGGTTTAATCCAGTATGAAATGTCGAAATTCCATCAGTTTTCTTTCCTTCAGAGACATAATAGGGCTAATTTGGTAAGTAGGACCTACTATCATATATTCATCATCTTTATTCTTAAACTCTAGTAAAAGTTGTAATTAAAATTGTGAAATTTTATGTCCCATTTAATATTTAAGGTCATATTTTACACTTTTTAGGTCATATTTGACATAATTTTGGGTCATAAGTGCATGCATATATTTATAGTTTTTAGGTCATAAAAATCCGGGCCCTAGTCATTTCTATGAATTTGATGACAGTTTGGTGCAGGCTATCTTGTTGTCAGTGGTCCTAGGCACTGATGCATATATTATGATGTATGAGTGTGAACCTGAAGGTCCATCAATGCCACAGAAGAGTGTTTTGTCTGCTGCAGCCACCACTGCAACTTGTGCTGTCAATGGACAGAAAACCAGCTCATATCCACAGGCACCTGTCAGCCACAAGAATGGATCAGTGGTGAAGCATAGGCAAGGCTGTGGTTCTAATTCTGCTCTATACACATGTGCTTCATCTCCCCCATCAGCAAAAGGTGAGTTGACTTCTAGTGACTCAGTGGCAGCACCACATTGCTCACGGGATAAGCCTAGCCTTGGAGAAGTGAGCCCTCCCTTCCAGCACTCCTCATTAAAATGTAAGAGACCATTTGCTCATAAGTCTTGTTGCCCAGACAGTGATGTGACTGTGAATGACATGAAATTGTTAGAAGATTACTCAAAACTCTTGAAATCTCATACAGGCAATGAAACAGATGTTGAAAGTGGGGGTGACAACATGACAAGGAGAGGTGAACATGTTAAGAAAATAAAGGACAACAATGAAGGGATACAGACAATCTTATCACAACCAGAAAGCAAGCATATCAGAGTCTCTGATGTAGAAACCCTTAATTCAGTACAGGACAGCTGGATAGAAGAGAAAAAACGAAATAAAAAACACAAAAAGAAAAGGACACAGAAGTCTACAGCAGATGTCAGTGAAGGGTCTAAGGCTGCGGAAGGAATCTGTGAATGGGTGGAAGAAACCTCTAAGACCCTGGGAACAAACATTGCATACCAAGCACAGATAAATGTCCATTGCTGGACCGGGACTCATAAACCTGGTGAACAGTGTGATATGAATGAAGGCTTAGAAAACGATGCCAGTCATAAAAAGTTTAATAGAAGGAAGCATAAAGTGAAGCACCATCATTTATGCTCTTAATTATCACTAGCCATACAATTATTACGGTACCTACCAACCTCATCATAAGCAGGGTTCTGACTGAAACAAGGAATATAAAAGTGGAAATGATTTCTGTAATCAGGGCTCTGATAGGGGTCGATCATATACTGAGTGGTGAACAAGGAGACATTAATGTGTTCTAAGAACTTTAGTTGTTTCGAACCATCAGATGTTACAAAACATTATGCATTCACAAATTGGTAAGTGGAAATGTCACTTATTTCCAGACCAAAATGTAGAGATTATGCATAACCAAGTTGTAAGTTTTGAATATAATAAAATATTTTATATTGTGTGTTATATGAAATAAAATAGTAAGCAGAATATTATATTTGTTGCATCCTGTTGCACATCATTTATTCAATAAATTTCACTGATTCACCATTTCAGGTGCCAGTGTTCATTGTCAGGTGTTAAAAATTATCAGTGGAAACTGCTGTTTTTCCTATTTGTGATTCATGTAACATGTAGTGTGCAATGTACAGAAGCTTTTAAATCAGGCCTAAAAGTTGCATTCTGTGTGTATATAAGAAGGATGTGCTGCACATGAGACAGTGAAACAGTGACATTTGTTGAACAAATGGAATCCTAAGGAGTTTCTAGGCTTTCAAAAGTTTGCAGTTACAGCCAGAACACCGGCTAAGCAAATGTTATGCATACAGTTTGTGTACCATTCATCAGAATATGACACTCATGGTGTGCAAAACTAGTATCTGGCTAAAAGGCAAGTAAAAGTTCACAATGAAACTTAAATCTGGAAAAACTGCTGTTATCTGTGATTCCCCCCCCCCCCANAAAAAAAACCTACTCCATTGTGTAGGATGAAGTACAAGGATTTCATTGCCATAATGCTGAAACATCTCTTTGACAGTCTGTGACCTACTGTTCACAAAATGAAAAGCAACAGCATGCCAACTTTGTTGTTCAGTCATAATGAAGAGCTCTTGTCTTCTGGGATATAACACTGTGTAGTTAACTGAAAGTCAACTGACATTTTGGAGGAACAGGTGGCCTCCATCTTCAGGGCTGAAGGATAAGCAGAGCTCTGCTTGCTACCTGCTTGATGCACATTTCCTGCCTGGAATATTCTTTGATGGAGGCATTATGTTCCTCCAAAATGACTGCTGACTTTCAACAGACTACATGGCATTATACCCCAGAAAATAGAACTATTCACAAAGACTTCTGTGAGGTTATCAAATCCTGCCTAAATCAGATTGTTTGAATCATGACAATGTAGCTGTGCATTTGTTTAAAAGCAAACTATACAGCATTCCTTCTGCTAAACTGGAAGATCTGACAAAAATTTACCCCTTTTCTAATGGTTCTGCTCTGTAGTATAGAAACAACCTGTGTTATAAAGATGATTTTGGTATGGAAGGCAAATGACACATTGTTGCAGTGTCAAATAACAAAGGTACCTGCAGTGGTATTGGCGGAACACTGCAAAGGCTAGTTACAAAGACAAATCTGCAAACCTGTTATGGGAAGCAGATCATGTCACCAAGACAAGTTTACATACAAGTGGGCTGTTGTGAGCCATGTTCTACCTGACGGCTCGAAGAGTGGCCTGTTCAGCCTGGTGTCCAACCCTCCTTTATCCCCCAACCGAAGGCATCTGTGTTCTTCCTTATTTACATGGTCCCATCATTCCCATGTACCATGTGATTTTCCCCTTCCTCCTGTTATTTTGAATGTAAACGTTTCATCTAGGA